GCCGACGAAACGGTGTACACCAGTAAATGAGTTCGTCGCATGACGCACATTGCGTGTGCAGTATTGATGCGAATGATTGGGCGGCTTCAAATCCCATGTTGATGTGTGCGTGCGATGTTGCCAGTAGGCCAGTACTGTAAATTGGCTGTCTGAGAACGGCTCGCCCTTCCTTTTCGCAACAACAAGAGAAGGATTGCTGTTGTCGGAGATCCATTAGAGCTATTTTGTTGGTAGCGCGACACACCCATGTACAAGATGAGTCGTGCTAAAGCCAACGCGTTGTCTGCCTCAGACCGCAGATTGAGAGTACGTCGTTGTTGGCACTATGCTTGTTGACTTGGTTATTTTCCGTGATGCACCCCTCCGTACTCGCCGCCCAGGCCGCAAAGGGAGAGGCCTGCACCGAGAACACGGAGAGGCATCGCCAAAGGTGCGTGCACACCTTGATCGTCGCTCTATTTTCCGGCGTTGGGCAGCATTCGACGGCATCGCCCGGTACCGGAGAGGGTGCAGCAGCAGGAGAACCTTCGGGCGACTCTCTTCTGCCACGTACTCCACGGGCGCTTCTCGAAGATGACGAAGCTTTGTACTGCAGAAGACTGCAAGACACCTTGGTCTACATGTCGCGACACCAGACACCTTGGTCTACATGTCGCGACACCAGTTTCCACCAGCCGTTCCATCGGGACTTCGGCAAGTCGTTGCAGAGCCGGGGACAAGGTTCACCGTCTCCCAAACGAGGTGCACCTGCGGTGGTGAGCTCCGTTCCGAGGGTGACGTGGAGGATGCGAAGCTTGTGACAGAGGTGAGTAGTGGCTTTGGGCTCTGTTGTTGCTCGGTTCCCTCAGAAGGTGCCTAGCACCCTCTCGCTTCGCACGTTGCACCTGAAATAGTCGGTATCGCCTGCTCAATCTCGCAACCCTGAAATGGTATCGGTATATATATCCCGTGGTCATTGTTTTACTGTGCACAGGGTAATGGTGAACACCTCATCTTCGTAAAACTACTGCTAGGACGCCATCTCAATCGTGTAGGAAGAGTTGGTAATTGATTTTTCCTTAGCGACATCTCCCTTCACGCGGTCTACGGGTCACGTGACCAATCGCAGGCGCCGCTAGTAACGAGCGTGGCGGTAGAGCGCCGAAAGTGCGGTGAATGCGGAATGTGCGCGTGGGCAAGCGACAACTGGCGGGATACGTCCGTGTTCAACTTCAACAACAACTTGCTGGTGGACCTTGCCCTTCTGTACAAGTGCCTTGCGCAGTTCATCGGAGGGACGCCGATCCAGACCTTTTTCTTCGCGCACTTTGAGCCTCTGACGACAAATCTCGGTTGGCTGTCGGCGAACCCGGATCTCGCTGCGAGGTATGCTGCTCTATGTCATTTGCAGAGTGCCATGCATACGCTCTACAACGACTGATTGAAGTCTGGGAGCTTGCGGAGTTTGAAAAGGCGTGATTAGTACAGCTTTGGTCGGTAGTTGTCAACCTCACGGCGTCGTACCGCTTCTCAAACCTGGTGGGAATAGATGTCGGACTCCTCCCCACGGTCGCTCTACTTTAGCCATAGACAGAGAGGTACAAAAAGTGAGATGTTGAACGCCAATCATTTTCGCAACAGATGTGGAGGACAGATGGTATAAATGGACGGGGAGCAGTGGAAGACAATGTCTAGGGTGCCGACGGTACGAATGTGCGATGAGATATTCGTGCAGCAAACCGGTAGGACCGCTTCTCACGTAGGAAAGTTCCTGACTGTACGTATTGATTTGATTTGGGGGGGGGCGATACTCATCTTACCTCGTCCGTCAGTTCTGGGGCTGACCGTGCTGAACCCAGTTGAAAAGGGGAGCCTTGTTGATGGTGAGACCTGTTCCTGAAGCCCAAGTATATCTCGACATTTTGAGTGTCAACACGTATGGCCGACCGAAGAGGGTACGCGAGTAAAACCAGGCACTATACCCTTGCGGCGTATAGTGCAATTTGAACAAATTTCTCGTGTTGGCTTTCGTTTTCGGGCATGATAAAACGGGGTACGTTCGACGTAAAGAAACGTTGTAGTACCTTGTGTTGATGAACAACGTTTTCCGCTCCTCCCGCTGTTGTTTCGTGTGCCTTGCTAAACGCAGTATCACCGATAAAAACTCG